GGTCCGTCGGTGGATAATGGCGTGCCTTGAGGCGATGGGCTTCGGGCCCCACGCCCTGCGCTGGGTTGAGCTGCTGCTGGAGGGCACCAGGGCAGTGGTCAGCTTTGCGGGCGTCTTCTCAAGGGAGTTTGCTGTCAGGTCCGGAGCGGCTCAAGGCAGCCCGCTCTCGCCGCTGCTGTACGTCGCAGCTGCGCAGCCCCTGGCGGCATGCCGCCGTCAGCGTTGCGGCGCCTGCAGGCAGCTGGCCGCATTGACGCCATCCGCCTGCCGGACGGGCGGGCGGCGCCTGCGAGCCACCAGCACGCCGATGACACCTCCATTCAAACGGCGACGGTGCGAGGGGCGCAGACGGCAATCGACGAGGGTGGACCGCGACGGCGGCTCTCCTGGGTGTGCTTTTGTGGGCAGCCGCAAGGTGGGGCGACAACAAATGCCGCAGGAGGCGTGCGTGGAAGATAAGCAGGACGTGGCTGACTATTATAATAATGCTGATCGTGCACCCTGCAGGGGCGGCGGCCGACCCAACACTCTCAAATATAGCCCACATGGCAGTGCCCGAGATGGCAGCAGCAGCAACTGTAACGCTGATGGCGGTCGCGCCCTGCCTCCAGGGAGCCCTCGCAGCAGTATGGAGCACGGCGGCGGCCGTTTTTGCCTTGAGAAGGCGCCGCGCTTGGGGGAAAAGAGTGCACATACTCCAGGAGGCAGCTGCACGCGGCCAGGCTTCCATTCGCTGGTCGGCACCCGCCCACCCCTATGTGCCAGCACCGCTGGCCATGCTGACGCCGACGTGTAAGCGCAACAAGAGCCAGGAGGCGGTGCGCGCTAAGGCACGCACTGCACGCGGTGCGCACAGCCATGCGACTGTCGCAAGGGGAAGAGCCTGCGCTGTCCGCAGCAATATGCAAAGTCACAAGCAGCGCGCCCACAGCCCGCAAGGGTTGGCGCCAGCCGCGCAAATGATCTTACCACGCAGCGTGGCTCGGCAATCACATCCCACGCGCTCACAGCATGTATCGCGTCCTCCAAGCATGCCAACAGTCCCTTGTCAACATGACCCCCGGCGCCCCCTCGCCGGCAGATGCAGCGCGCTCACACATAATCGGTGATCATCACAACACACAGGCACCGCCCACTTGCGGGGAGGGCGCCCACAACGGGGCGGGACGCACCATCAGCACCGCTGCCCAGCAGCAACCCGATGTGCAACCAGCGACGCCGCCCGCCGGACCGGGAGCGCTGCGTGGCGGCGGCCTGGCGCGACTCCGCAGGGGGCGGGCCCCGCGAGGCCAAGACGACCGCTGGGTCCAACCACCAGCTGGAACATACTGTGAGGCGCAGGAGCAAGGCTTCTGCGGGGCGCATGCGGTGAACGCGCTGCTGGGCAGAAGGGCGATACCTGGAGAGGGGATGGTACGCTACATGCGTGAACACTGGCCCGCAGGGGAAGAAGCAGGCCACTATACAGGGGAGGGGTGGTTTACGTCCGAAGCCCTCAACAGGTGGCTGTATGAACACACCCCGCCAGAGCTACCGGTGTCCATCTACCCCTTGGGACTGGAGATGGAGGGCCCAGGCAACCTGACAGGCCACGAGCTGAAGTGGCGGCTGGAACACCACGGGTGTGATTGTGCACTAATTCATGCACCCAGTCACTGGATTGCCCTCGTGAAATGCGCTGAGGGGCAGTGGTATGAAGCGGACTCTATCCCGTTTGGCGTCAACGGAAACAAAATCAAAAAGATGACTGACGCTGACTGGGAGCATGGCGCGACCACGGGGGGCTGGAGCGTCAACGTACTGGCCCCCATCGACGCCGCCCGCGCCCAAACAATCGGGGCACAACCTGGCAGAGGAGCGGGAGGGGCAGAGCGCCCCCCCGCGGACTTTGCGGCGGTGCCCCTTGCCAAGCTGCGGCTGGCCATTAGCGCGGCCCCCACCCGCAGCGCCGGGGCAAATGCGATGCCCACGAATGCGGCCATCGCCCGCCGCGAAGAAAACGAACAGCGCAAGGCCTCAGAACTGCATAGCCGAAGAGACGCACCAAACAAAGTGACAAACCACACAGCCACGCGGGGGGATGAGGCGGCCGCGCCCCGTGAAGAAGAGCAGCAGCGACTGTCGCCGGCGACCACCGTCGCCCCGCAAGCCGGGAACGAGGGCGCAGCGGCGGCCGTGGGACGTGCGCCTACTCAGCAGGTGCCGGGAATGAGGCCAAAACGACGCGAGTTCGCCCTCAAATACTGTGCACCAGCCCATAAAGGGGTTTCAAAACATGCAGGTCAGAAACGGCGGGTGGTGACTCAAACCGACGCGCGGCAGAAGCGCATCACCGACCTCTGGAAACTCAAGGCAATACCTGCTGCCGCACTCGCACCTCCCACAGCAGGGGTGACTGCAAATGAGGTGGCAGGGAGGGACAGCACTGGCAACGCCATGGCACCCGCCTCCCCCGCAGCCCAGCCTTGCACAGTGGCCGCAGGCGAGCCGCGCAAGCCGGCTCACGCAACCGCAAAGCCCGCCCCAGCACCTGCTGTTGGTGGAAGGAACTCAGCAAAGAGAGAACGCCAGCGCACGCGGCGGCGGGCAGCTCGCGCGCTCAAGGAACGGGCGGATCTGGACCGCGCCGCCGCCATGCGCCAGGACAT